AAATTAAAAAATGATCGTATGACGATAAATAGCGATAAATGTGAGTAAAAACTGCGACAAAATACCATATTTGGGATACTAAATATCTAAAGAAGGAATTTCACCAGACAATAAACTGATAAATAAAATATCGGAAGTACCCATACAAAAAAAGAATTATTATCCGTTTTGGGATTGACCAATTTTTATAGAAAATATCTATCTCGATGTAGCAACCTAAAAGAACCATTTGCATAGTTAAGGAAAGAGAATGCAGAATTTAGATGTACTCAAAAAGAAAAATTAGATTTTTGAAAGCTTACAAATCAAAAGAAAAAATATAGCTTTTGGAAAAATATCTAAAGAAGCTTACAAATCAACTATTAAAATATCAAGTAAACAAAAAAAGAATTATTACCATATTTTATAGATACCAAATATCTAAAGAAGGAATTTTAGATGTACTCAAAAGACAATAAACTGATAAATAAAATATCGGATACCAAATATCTAAAGAAGGAATATAAACTGCAAAAAAATATCAGAATTAGTATCCGTTTGGGGATTGACCAATTCTTATAGAAAATATCTACCTCGATAAAGCAACCTAAAAGAACCATTTGCAGAGTTAAGGAAAGAGAATGCAGAATTTAGATGTACGCAAAGACAAAATATAGCTTTTGAAAGCTTACAAATCACTATTAAGAAAACAAAATACCATATTTTGCATAAAAAAATCACTATTAAAATATCGGAAAAAAAAAAGAATTAGCTTTGCTATAAAACGCATGAACTTTGATTTCAACATCATATACGTAAAGGGAAAAACTATTCCACACATGAGTGCGCTCTCCAGACTAAATTTGGCAGTAAAAATGTTAGAAATGTTTGAAAATTCAGAAGATAAAATATTGCACTGGGGTGAAACGGACGTATTGAACCTAAATCGTCTCAGGTACAAGATCCAGTGTTAAGTAGAATTTCTGACAGAATAAAAAGAAATACGATGAGCAAGTATTCAATCGAAGAAAGATCCTACAAAAAACCAAGGCATATGTCAACTGTAGAGAAATGCATTATATGCAATGGAGATATTATAATACGCCCACAAAATTTTAAAAGGAAATATTTAAATGTGTAAACCATTGTGGTATAACAGTAACACAAATAAGATTAAAATTACAAACGTGGTGGCCAGGATATTCTCGAGATGAAGAAAACCATGTCAAAAGATGCCCAAAATATGCTGAAATAAAAAAAAAATCAGCAAAACAAAATTCACCCGTATCCTAAAGAAAAAGAACTATGGATTATATATAAGTCATGGGTTTATTTTTAAATTTTGTGGACTCATTATCAGGATGGCCCGAACAAATTAAGGTTGCTGACAGAAAATCCGTCATTGTAAAGCAAGTATTAAGTACAATATTTTCAAGGAATGGGATGACTTAAACGTTGGTGTTGGATAACGCGCCAGAATTTTGCGAGGAAAGTTTGTGGTCGTTTGCTAAAGCGTATTGAATGTTGTCCGTATAAAACCCAATCCTACCACACACAATCGAATGAAATCCCAGAAATAATGATGCAGACTTTGAAAATGGGACTAAAATCATTTTCCCCATCTAGTGACGATAGAGAGAGTTACTTATAAAGATTACTGTTAATCTATGAGACAGTTCCAAATTTTCACTCCGCATTAATGGGTAGACAGATTAGAGCTCTCATAAGAATAGAATTTTCAACAAGTGAATGTGTATGGTATAATAGACAAAGAATATAATCCAGAGAAGGCGAAATTTGTACTACAGAAAAGACACAACACAGCAACACTAACGAAAAATGGGCAAAATGCGGATCAATTCAGAAGGAGAATGGAACCCTAGTATATAGAAATGGACGAAGAATCTGAAGGTGAAGAACATGAAGGGGAAAAGGGGACTAATGAATCCAGTAATGAAACTGAACAATCTGGATGTTAATATCCAGAAATCTGGCAAGGAATCTGGCAAGGAATCTGAAGAGAAAAATGAACTAAGACCTAGGTCTCCTACAAGAAAAAAATCAAGATACACTCCAAGACGGGGATGATGGCCATTTCGGTTCAGGGAAATGTAGTATTTTATGCAAATGAGATAATGCTATATAATGCTGCCATCTGTTGAATTGACAACGTCTATTCTAGAAATTGCTCTATTTCATAACATTGATAAAAAAGAGACATTTCATAACAAAAGAAAACAATTCATAATAAAAAGAAACAATTCATTACAAAAAGAAACAATTCGCAACAAAAGCAGAAAGTATTCATAACAAAAGAAAAATCATAACAAAAAGTAAACAATTCATAACAAAAGAGAAATACTCTATAACAGAAATAAACAATTCATAACAGAAATAAACAATTCATAACAAAAAGTAAACAATTTATAGCAAAAATAAACAATTCATAACTAAAAGTAAACAATTCATAACAAAGAGGAAACAATTCATAACAAAAGGAAACAATTCATAACAAAAGGAAACAAAAGAAAAATCATAACAAAAAAGCAGAATTCATTTAAAAAACAAAATAAAAATCATAATTCAAAAAGAAAGAAACAATGCATAAAGGAAACAAAGAGAAATAATTCATGAAAAAGAAAGTTCAAACAAAAGGAAAAACAGTCATAGCAAAAGTTCATAGAAAAATAAACAATTCACAGAACAAAAATAAAAGAGGAAACAATTCATGACAAAAAGGAAACAGTTCATAACAAAAAGGAAACAATTCATAACAAAAAAGGAAATACAAAGAGAAATAATTCAAAAAGAAAATAAAAAAAAAAAAAAAACAATTCATGATAAAAGTTAAAAAGAATTCTTAACAAAAAGGAAACAATTCAACAAAAGGAAACATTGCCGTAAAAAAAAATTGCCGAAATAAAACAAATAGAACAAAAAACAGTTCATTGGTCGTCTTTCATCAGTGAAAAAAACCGAGAACCTAATAAGATATAAATGTTTACACCGACTAAAACATATACAACCCCAGACTAATGTTACATGCATCTAACATTTGTCCTCCATATTTTTCCTCGACTGACGATGATGCATATGAAAACATGTTATTTAAAAGTAAGATGTGTGACTGCATTATAAAGTATTGCTGTTAATATATGCACCATGACAATGGGTAACAAATTTGTCTCAATTTGAAATATATTTCATTGTAAAATAATTTTAACATTAGATTATTCTCGGTCTTAAATTAAGTACCGGCATTGTGTGTATTTAATACGAAATTCAAAGTACTTGTTTACACAGTAAATAAAATCTCAATACTGAAATTGCCAGTATATAAAAACAGAATGTGCGTTTTTAATCTATTTCAAATGATTCAATTATTACCTTGACACTCTATGAAACTACACGTAAATTAAATTATGTGTGGAATATAAAGAAAGAGATAATAGAATTTTTATTATTCTAAATTGTTGCGCCACTTTTTGTAAGTGAGAATGGAAAGAAGACAATTATTTTTCCTTTTATATTTCAGAATAAAATCTTCTATATGTAACTAGAAGAAAAGGTGAGAATTTCATGGTTTTCCTTGGAGCAATAGATATAAGTGAAGAGACCTATTTCATGATCATGAGACATAATTCAAGACTTACTGACTTTCATCGTGTAGAGAGCAGAAAGTAATGCCTGATCTAACATATTATAACAAACAGATTAATATCTTTCATAAGGACACACAATTAAATTAATCCATGACTTGAAATCGTCGGTGTAGTAAGTACAATGGATGCACTTGGCGAGGTTTATATATATATATATATATATATATATATATATATATATATATATATATATATATATATATATAAGGAGGAGTTAAAAAACGGTTTATTTCCCTCTTAAACTTGTTTCCCACTCCCACACATACTAA